CCTCATCAAGGTCTACTTTCCTCCCACTCACTTCTTTCGAGATAAACTTTTTCTCTAGAAAGGATCCACTCTTAGCAATAAAGATCTTGCCTTCGGATCTGTGATAAAAAGGTGTACCCAACAGTTTCTTTTGGGTATCCTATGAAGACACATTTCTCCTATTTGGGTTTGAGCTTATCAGGTTGAAGCTTTTTCACATAATCATCACAGCCCCAAACTTTAAGAAACGACAGCTTAGGTTTCTTGCCAAACCACAATTCATATGGTGTCATCTCAATGGATTTAGATGGTGCCCTATTTAAAGTGAATGCAGTTGTCTCTAATGCATAACCCCAAAACGATAGTGATAATTCGGTAGAGACATCATAGATTGCACCATATCTAATAAAGTACGGTTATGACGTTCAGACACACCATTACGTTGTGGTGTTCCAGGTGGCGTGACTTGCGAAACTATTCCACATTGTTTCAAATGAATACCAAACTCGTAACTCAAATATTCGTCTCATGTGATCAGATCGTAGAAACTTTATTTTCTTGTTACGATGATTTTCCACTTCAGTCTGAAATTCTTTGAACAATTCAAATGTTTCAGACTTATGTTTCATCAAGTAGATATACCCATATCTTCTTAAATCATCTGTGAAGGTTAGAAATAACGATACCCACCGCGAGCCTCAACACTCATTGGACCGCACACATCAGTATGTATTATTTCCAACAAGTCTGTTGCTCGCTCCATTGTTCCGGAGAACGGAGTCTTAGTCATCTTGCCCATGAGGCATGGTTCGCAAGCATCAAGTGATTCATAATCAGTGATTCCAAAAGCCCATCAGCATGGAGTTTCTTCATGCGCTTTACACCAATATGATCTAAACGGCAATGCCACAAATATGTTGCACTATCATTATCAACTTTGCATCTTTTGGCATCAATATTATGAATATGTGTATCACTATGATCGAGATTCAATAAACCATTCGCCTTGGGTGTATGACCTCGGAAGGTTTTATTCATGTAAATAGAATAACAATTATTCTTTGACTTAAATGAATAACCGTATTGCAATAAACATGATCCAATCATATTATGCTCAACGCAAACACCAAATAACATTTATTTTAGGTTCAACACTAATCCGAAGGTAAAGGGAGTGCGCGATGGTGATCTTATCAACCTTGGAATCACTTCTAGCACACATCATCACCTCGCCCTTAACTAGTCTCTGTTATTTTGCAACTCCCGATTTGAGTTATTACTCTTAGCAACTAAACCAGTATCAAATACTGAGGGGTTGCTATAAACACTAGTAAAGTACACATCAATGACATGTATATCAAATATACTATTGTTTACTTTGCCATCCTTCTTATCCGCCACGTATCTAGAGTAGTTCCACTTCCAGTGACCATTTCCTTTGAAGTAGAAACACTCAGTTCCAGGCTTGGGTCTAGCTTTGGGCTTCTTCATGGGAGCAGCAACTTGCTTGCTATTCTTCTTTGAATTTCCTCTTTCTTTCCCTTTGCCCTTTTCTTGAAACTAGTGGTCTTGTTAACCATCAACAATTGATGCTATTTCTTGATTTCTACCTTCGCCGATTTTAGCATCGCGAAGAGCTTGGGAATTACTTTCGTCATCCCTTACATATTATAGTTCATCACTAAGTTCTAGTAACTTGGTGATAGTGACTAGAGAACTTTGTCAATTACTATCTTATCTGGAAGATTAACTCCCACTTGATTCAAGCAATTGTAGTACCCAGACAATCTGAGCACATGCTCACTGGTTGAGCAATTCTCCTCCATCTTGTAGGCAAAGTACTGTCAGAGGTCCCATACCTCTCGACATGGGCATGAGTATGAAATACCAATTTCAACTCTTAGAACATCTTTTATGCTTTGTGGCAAAGGGTTTACTAGAGTCAATAATCTAGTTCACATCACTATGTGATTAACACCCAAAGAGTGGTCATGTTTTGCTTGTGAGAGAAGTTTAGTCAACGGGTCTGCCACATTCAGAGCCATATGTATTTTGCAAATTTCTATGTCTATAATGCTCTGCACGGAGCTACTCTAGCTAATCGCTCCCACTTTAAATATGTATCTAGATGGAGACTTAGAGTCATCCAGATCGGTGTCAAAGCTTGCATCGACGTAACTCTTTACGACGAATTCTTTGTCACCTCCATAACCGAGAAACATTTCCTTATTCCACTAAGGATAATTTTGACCGTTGTTCAGTAATCCACTCCTGGATCACTATTGTACCCTCTTGCCAAACTCATAGTGAGGTACACAATAGGTCTGGTACATAGCATAGCATACTTTATAGAACCTATGACAGAGGCATAGGGAATGACTTTTCATTCTCTTTCTATTTTCTGCCGTGGTCGGCTTTTGAGTCTTTACTCAACTTCACACCTTACAACACAGGCAAGAACTCCTTCTTTGACTATTCCATTTTGAACTACTTCAAAAACTTGTTAAGGTATGTGCTTTGTGAAAGTCCAATTAAGCGTCTTAAATCTATCTCTATACAATGAAGGTGGACGAATTCATATACCAGTATGGGAAGCCTCTCGTCAAAGATGGAAGTCCTCCTCTAACAACGATGATGCAAAGATTTCATGAATGATACATGGAAACCTGCAGCAAGTCTGGGAAGGATGCTTTGATGATGATAATTAAAGAGGAGCACGACTTCGTTGGATCGGATATGATTACTGGTGATTTTGATGAGTTTTTTCAGTTATACAATCAAAAGGCTCTCGACAAATCACTCGTGACTTGCTATTGTCTGTAAGTACTACTTCTGTAATTAAGTCTCTATATATAGCTCAGCTCTTTCGTTGCATGTGTATATAATTATCCTCACTGTATTATGCAGATTGAAGATCGTCGAACGCAGAAAAGCACAAATCTATGACATTGGGTTCATTAACCCAAATATCATACATGAATGGACGGTTAAACACAATGTCACAGAAACCGAGGACAACTTGCTACAATCGTTGCTCAAAAATCAAAGCAAAGATAAAATACTATTTCCTTACAACTTCAAGTGAGGTTTCCCTTATTACTCCAGGTTATAGTAATGTAACTGATGGGTTATGCTTGCGTGCGTAGCTTCCACTTTATTCTCCTAGAGATTAAGCTTGAGCAAGGAGTAGTAACCATCTTAGACTCGAGACGAAAAGATCCCGAGGACTATGCGGACTCGAATGCTCCAGAAGTAAGTCCAATCGATCATTATCGCACCATATCGGCAACTTTGTTCATTTCCTCATATCAGGTAATTATTTTCTTTGTCTGGCAGGGTTTGGAAAGAGTTCACCGTAATTGCTCCGGGACTGCCGACCGAGCTGCGATTTCAACACCCGAAAGTAAGTACTACTACCTAGTTCCGCGCATCTCCCATTGATTCTAGCTAGTTTCATCAATATCATTTAGCATGCTTGCTTATCAGTTTGATTGACCTCTATTTCTCGTAAAGTGCTTGTAGCAGGAAGCCGGGAATGATTTCTGTGGATACTACGTTTGCGAGTTCATCTACAACGCGACGACCTCTAATAAGCGGGGCTACTCTGAAAAACAATATGAAGTGGGTAAGCAAAAATATTCACAATTTTATTTTACTACCATCATTTGTGTTGAGTTTCATTCATACACATGTATTGACCCTCTTCTTCAATTTAGATCTGGCAGATGCGGGATGAACTCCTACCAAAAGATTGCATACGAGCAATTCAAGAGGAATTGACGGGATTCTTTCTTGACCACGTCATCAATCCAGCCGGACAATACCATGTGAAAATTGACTTCCGATGTTAGGGATTGTAAGAGATCTTATATTGTATATATGTAGCTAGTAGCGTCGGATAGATATACAAAAACTTGTTGTTCAAACAATCTCTCGGAGAAGGAGAGGTCGATCACTTCTCTCTGTATATATGTTCATATGTTCATGGCGATCTTGTGTACTTAATGGTTCCTTCATTTGCTTACTAGCTAGCGTGTCGAGTTCTCTCCATACGTATAGTACCTAGCGTCGACCAAGCACGGAGATAAGAGATGTCACTTCTCTCTATTAGCTAGCTAACACAATATATGAAACTCTTAAATTA